AACTGGCAAGGTTCTGGGGAAACATCATCTCTTCTATAAAACGTGCACTATACGATCATTATATGAGCAGACTGGAAATAAATTGTGATGACTCTTTAGGGAGCTATAGCCAAAAATGTGTTTTTGGAGTGATTTTTATGTTTTGTTGTCAGATTATGCATCATGGCGTTCTTTTATCGTCCACATCAGGTTAACGACTTTTATGTATTTTGAACAACTATTGTCTAACGCTTACAATGCCGGGTTGGTTCGTGTTAAATTATGTCTTCCTGGAGTGCAAGGCGTTGTTCTCTGACTGAACTACGTGATGGGGTAAAACGCCCCAGTAGGTCGCGGGGCAAAAAGCCCCATGGGGCGTTTTACCTCATGTGTTGTTCGGACTACCCACTTCCTAACGTTCGGTAGCTGGCGAACGGTATGTTTCTATGCATTTATATGTACTTTTCTCAGCAACTGGATGGCAAAGGAAGTATTTTGTTAACATTTGCATTGCAATAATTTATTATTTGGCCTTATGAGGCAGGTGAAAAACCTGCTCATACAATAGTGTCGTAGCTGAACACCTGATAGGATGGAAGGTGCTAACTTCAGTGCCATGCCTCCCAAGGTCCAACGGACCTTTCTTATAAGATTTAGTCAACTAGCATGTTTAATCTTTAATCTAGAGTATGGGGCTTCTTGCCCCAGGCCGTGGGGCGTTTTGCCCTGGGGTTGGGGCAAAACGCCCTATTTGCAGTTGCTTCACAAACCACTTCCTAGCTGGGAGTCCGATCATAAGTGAATGAATTTGAGGGGTGGAATTTAAAGTAAAATGTCCAAAGAACGCATTGAGCTCAAATTTGGCCTTCCAGGTTATGTGGAATAAAAGTTATGTAGCAAAATAAATTATCTGGGGCGTCTTGCCCCAGGCTACCCTACATAGTTTCGAATAATTTCGATGTCAGCTAACGACTGTTAAGCAGTGAAACCACTGTCAATGTTATCTGAATAGCCTTGCAATAAATGCAGTGGGATTTTTTCTTTAAAAACATTGCAAAAAGCAATAATCATAACACATCGGCAAACAAAAATTAGTTACACTTTCAACAGAAAAGGCAAGGTATTACATAGATAAGGTTGCATGACAACAAAATGCAATAATAATGAATGAGATAATGCTACATTTAGCACACTTTAAAATGCAGTTCAGTTCTTTTAAAAATAAATTCAACTGTTTTAAAATCGTCGTCAGTTGTTTTAAAATCGTATTCAGTTCTTTTAAAACGGAAGTCATGTGTTTTAAACCCAAGTTCAACAGTTTTAAATCACAGATCAGCTTTTTTAAAATGGAGTTCAACTGTTTTAAATCGCGGCTAAAAAGGTGTAGGGGAAGTTGGGGGAACGCCGAAGACTTTTTTCTGACGCCCGTAGCACGCAAGGTAGACAACATAAGCTATTCTTGTTGGCGTCATTCGAGAGGCCAGTCTTTTGCCTTTCAAACATACCAGGCGCATTTGATGAATTCGCATACCGTTAAGCGCACAAACTAAAAATATCAAAGAAGTGACTTTTTCGGCGTTGCCCCGGACTGCGGGGAAAGCCGAAAATGGGAGCATGGGCGGCGCCACCGGGGGGGACGGGGGGGACAGGTCCCCCGCTATCGAAAGTTAGGGGGGTACAGTACCCCCCTATCGGCGAGGCCCGTTCAATAGTTGATAATAATGCATTATAGAGCTATCCGGGGCATTTAATGCATCGTTGGTTAATCAAGGCAGGTTCTGAATAAAGATTGCTGTTGGGATGCATCGCAGGGGGTCCTGGCCATCTGCAAAAGGTGTGGAGCTGTGATGCCTGTAGTTATAAGGTGATCGGCAGGGCCTCGGGGATCGTGCCCCCTTTTTGGGGCGCCAGGCAGGGTTATTACTTATTACCTCCCCACCCCACTGCCAGACCCCATTGCCGATAAAACCAAGTTCACTGAAATTCCATAGATTTCCGTTACTATATGAAAATTTTCCATTCCTAATTAGTCAAATTCAAGCATGGCAGTTCTACCACAGGAACCATTTGAAATATATGCCATTTAACCCCAGCACTTGTGGGGAGAAGTGTTCGGATAGATCACAGGCAGGACCAAAAAAGCACGCAGTAGCCCAAGACCTTATAATTGGATATAGCATCGGCTCCCTCTCGTCAAGGGGTTCGATAGCACTCGTTTTTTTTTCTGCAAAACTAAGTTCGGTCGGCGGCCGAACGGCTGGGGGTCTAATCGAGCCCCCATCCCTCCCCTTCTTACGTCAGCGGCTGTGAAAATGCCATTACCAGCTGTTGAAACATGGCAGTTGCTTTTGCATGAGTGCACGAAAGGGTTTAAGGTCCGTGATACGTGAAAGGTTCTACATGAAAATTGAGATAGGTACACCAGCTTATCAAATTGTGCTCACTGTGGTGCGCTCGGTTTTACCTTGACTAGTCTTTGAATTCTGGGGTGAAACAGACCAGTCAAGAAACCTGTTCCATAAGGAGAGCCACTAATGCTAAAGAGATGTGGGATGAGGTTTCCAGAGACCATTACCTCCCAAAGGGGGTGCCCCGCCATTTGCCAATCCCTGCTGTAGTTGTTACGATTGGAGGGTGAATATGAGAACGATGCAGGTCGTGCCAGCTCGATCATGACGAACACAATGGTGCCGACATCACAGCTCTACTGCCATTTTTGACGAAGTTAATCAACAAGGACCGGAATCCTACCCTGGGGCATTTCACCGCAGAGGTCGCCGGACCTGAGACCCTTTCACTCAATTTTTTCAACGGTGCATGCGCTCGTTTTTCCCGCGAAGCTCTTGGCAAGTAAAATCCATCAGAAAGTGTGATCAAATAACGGCTGGTGACCTTCCATGACCTAGCATGGCCTTTTGAGTGACCACCGATGACATGACCACTGACGGCTAGCCATTAGCTGCACCCTGCCCGTTGCATATGGATCAGGTGGTGATGTCATGATTCTGAAATTATATTGCAGTTTTGGCGCACTTGTCAGAGCAGAAGACATTCCAACTTTTCCTCCATGACTATATGATGGTGAAGCCCTGAAGCTGACCAGACATAAGATCGAAAATTTGAAAGTACGAAACGTAAGAATAGCTGGCACTGCTACTCATACCTAAGCAATTCGCAGCTTGAAGGAAACCAGCTTTGAGTTGGCAAGACTGCAAATTTTGATTTAGAGGCAAGGATGCTTGAAAAGGTGATCGATATTAGGTGTCCTAGGATAAGTTTGGAAACGGGATGCACCATTCGATGTGTTTTGGGCCTTGCCAAGTTTCGCGGCGTTACGTGCCGCGTTTTTTTTTTTTTTGCATACACGATCAGTATCTACTTTTGGGATTTTCGATTTTCGGTCCCCGTCCCCCCCTATCGAAAACCCGTGGCGCCGCCCCTGAATGGGAGAAATGATCTACGGGGAATGCCGACATTGATGTTTAGCCATTTTATCTCAAACTTTATCCAGAATTGATCAAAGCTGGCACGCGTTTTAAGAGCTTGAGGACGCGGTGCACACTGGAAGTTATAATTGTGTGATATAATAAGAACATGCCAGGTAAATCATTCCTTATAGGTAACAGGCCGTTGTGTCGGTTGAAAGTGTAATTTGTGTGACTAAAAATACGCGTTTCTATTCTACAGCAGTAAAGTCCACGTAGCGTGCTTTTAACACGTGCGTAATCGCACGTTTTCGGCATTACCCCAGCCTGCCATACTTTCATTTGCAGGCCCATAACTTTTCAACGTGCTGTATAGATTTCAAATAGGCAGCACACTTATGCAAAGACATGCTAAAGATTACTTGACCGAATTGGCCAGACAAACGGTAGCATAATGAGTAAGAAATGCAGCTTCAAAGGCGCATGTAGTACAAGGGAAACGTACCTTGAAAACGCTCTTGGCGCCCTCACAGTCGAACTATTCCGAATGACGACTCGTAACAAACATGCGATAATTGTAGTCACTTAAGCTTCAGAGCATCACTGACAGGTGGCATCCATGTCTTACGGTTTTCGAAATATCTCGAATTTCGGCTTTGCCCCAACTCCGGCATTGCCCCAACTTCCCCTAGTGCGCGTAGCTCAGAAAGTAGGTATGTGTTGTTATTTGCAATATTTGCAGGATGTATGCTGACCAAGGGAATACAACGAATGTTATGCTTACGTGGCATTGTGCTTTTTAATCAGAGCTCTGATGCGAGTATTCTTTTTGAAAGAGGAGCCTTATCAACTAAGAGCAAAACGAATTTAAGACAGGAAGAGGAAGTATTGTTTTTGTTGTTGTTATCGTATTGTAGCTAAATCGAGTTCCAACTTGCATCAGTCTTCGAATCGTGAACAAATAACTAAATCACGATGCTAGAATTCTCGATTAGCTTGATTTTCATCCCTCGAAATCGTATAAAAATCGACAGTACCATACCGCAATGACGCTCTTTCATTGCCTGTTTCGGATTGGTGCTTCGGTTTTTGTCTATTCCTGACTCTGCATTAGCCATTCGTAATGTCTGACTGGGCATCCTTAGGTCTCCTGTCCCTCTCTCAAGCAGCCATATAAGCGTTAGCCTTTGCGTCGAATACGTCACTGCCGCGTCGCCTTTGACGTGACTGCGGCAGACGCTGGCTTTGTCATCCCAGAGGAGCGTGACCTACGCGTCACGTGCGAAGGGCGCGTTCTTGTATGGATGAAAGCCTTATTTCAGAATGAAAGCAGACGTTTTGATTGACCATCTTTCGGTTAGGTGTAAATTGAGCGTGCTGTAGCTCTTGCTGATTTGTAATTCACTCGGTAAGGCTTCGAAACTCATTACTTTCCCTTAATACTAATTTTACATGATCTTTGATATAATCGTAACCGTCCAAAGTCAAACTTGTCTACCGTAGCATGCGTCGATTTCTAAGTAAAGCGACGTGGTCTGAGGTTCCCCTGCTCTCCCAGTCGATCTCCCTGTTCTCTGACACACAGCGTAATGACAGGTGCGGCAGGCAGAGGTCTCAGCAAACCTGGACGACCTGGAGGGCGGCCTGGATGCTCTGGTCCAGGTCGCCACGTGCTCTGACGTCATCGGCTGGAACAAGAAGTCCCGCAAACTCATCATCTACACCAGTGACGGCTTATTCCATCTGGCAGGGGAAGGATTGGTACGTTGCACATCTTCTACATATCTTTTAAGATCATGTTCCCGTATTACGACGGCATGGCTCACGTTGCTACGGTTCCACTTGTTTTCATTGCCGTAATATTGCGAGACTAGTATCTGTACAAACAGAATCACAATCTCCTGGCGTCTGAACTGCCTGAAGTGTGCCAGCTAAGAACGTTCACTTCCCTTTGTTCACACTGCGACGTCTTGTTTTTTTCAGCTGGGCGGAGCTGCCATGAGGAACGAGCTCACCTGCAAGCTGTCCAACGACGGTTACTACGAGCGGACCAGAACACACGACTATCCGTCTGTGGCCGAGCTGGACCGGGTGCTCCGCAGGGAAAACGTGAGTACCTGCACGGCCAGGCGACGACTGGCGACAAGGCAAGCCGTTTATCTTACGTAATTGTCAGTTCATCACACTTCATCGGACGTATAAACATTATCCATATGAATGAGTTATATGTCCCCCCGTCTTATAGCTTATTTGGTAGAGCGTCTGATTTCCTGTGGCGAGAGGCGACAGTCTTCGGGTTAGAGTCGCTTCGGTGCTTGATTCACGAAACGAGACTCCTGAAAAGGATGGTGTGTTCGTTTGCGGTTAGTGGAATCAGCCACGGCCACTTGAAGTCAGTGGTTGGGTACGATCATGTAAGGCTATGTGGGAAAGACGCAGCCTTAGCCTCGACTTCGATTCTTAATTTCTTCTAGTCTAAACGACACTTTCATCACCATTCCTTTTCAGATGAACGTTGTGTTCGCCGTGTTCAGTGACGTTAGGAAGGAGTACGACAAGCTGACGGAGTTGATGAAGGCGAGCGTGCAGGTGGAGTCGCTCTTGGATGACTCCTCCAACATCCTGTCGGTGATAAAACGCCAGTACGAGGTAATGAGACCGATACAATTTGGTAATCCACCTTCATCTCTAGCCAGTACGCCTCTTCAAGGGTATGCATCTGAATAGGCATGCATGTGAGGACTGGAGCCCAGCTTCTCTGTATTTTATAAATGAATTTATTCCTACAGCACTGAAGTTAGTGCAAGGGGAAAGTTTGGATGTCCTCCAAGATGAACAATAAACCTCGCGGGACCTATTGGTCTCCTACATCGGTCGGGGAAGGGGGTGCAAATGGATAACGTGCACTCGTTGCATCACAGGCTCGCCCTGATGTCGAGCATTACTTCAGTGGCAGTTTCACTCTCTCACCACAACGTCCTCAGAGCATCACGTCCAGGATCGAACTGGTGGACGACTCCGGCGAGGAGATAGCCATCCGCTATCGCTCCAGCTGTCTGGACAATGAGCTCAAGCTGCGCAACAACTGCACCGGCATCAAGACCGGCGACCTGGTCACCTTCTCCATCGAGGTGGAGGTCCTCGGATGTCCAAAACAAAAGGCAAGTTTTAGGCTGCCCATTGATTGAACCTCAACGCACTTCAGTAGTATTTACTATGCATTTCAGACCCCATGAGACCCTGCTTTTCGGCGATAATTTCTTCAATTTTTGTCCAATTAGCTTGAAATTTTGGCAGACGATATTTCAGCTCAAGCGCCAATTTTTGGCAATATGGTCTCTTAACAAAATATCCAAATTTAGAGCACTTGTTGGCTCGTAATGTTAATCAGTTTTTGCACCCGGATAGAGGCTCGCTCGCTACCGCACCGGATTGGATAGGAGCGCTGGCCAATCACGTTGCGCCGGGCCCAACTAAACTCCGCCCACTGGCCGTGACCGCGATGGGTCTGTGCCGCTTCAGTCGGTGTCAGCACCGCGGAGAGGTCGGAGCGGGACCACATACTGGAGACAAGTGAAGCTGGCAAAGTTGTTTCGGGACGAAAGCCAAAAAATTATCCGTTTGAGGGCATTTGGTATCCTCTTCACCTTATTTTGGTATTTAAACGTCGAGCCAGCTCAGAATATTCACCTGTCCGTGCTTCTATCCTCAGGATACTGAAATCCTTCTCCTCCACGCCACAACCCCCTTCCGGGCTGGGCAGGCAACTTTATCTCATGCGGGCTGCTCCCTTGGAGCGGCACCGCTGCTCCCGAGGGAGCGCACCCCGTAGCCGGGTGCAGTGAGTGCCTTGGGGCTGGGTGGCCTGTCCTCTGGACGGGCTCAGCCCCGGCGACTCACTAGGGTGCCTGCCCAGACCAATGTCTCCCCCTAATTCCCATCATCCTTCCGGCTCTGCAATGGTCTTGTCAGACCGAAAGGGCCTAACCCAACAAAACAAAACAAATCAGAATATTCAGAATGATCAGAATCAAGGTAGGATCTATTGGAACGGAACCGGCCGTAGAAGGAAAGATGGATAGACTCTTGGACTCTGAACATTTATTTAACCCGCGCCCCACTGGGGTCTGCGTATAACACGCCCTACTGGGGGGGGGGGGGGGCTATTCATAGCCCCCCTCCTAACTCCGAAAGTACTGGGCCGATCGTCAAAATTCAAACGGCGTCTGATAGCCCCGGAAGAACTGTCGAGCGAAACCTAATTTCAGTGACCTCGAGGTCACCGATGACGTCACAGGTCAGGTCAAAGTAAAAACTATTAGCATTTTGGCTTCTTCACGTTTTGGGCTCTGGCCGCCGTCTTACAAGTCAGATCAGGTTAATTTTTGGTTCACACACCACACTCGTGAACAGATGTTCTAGATACTCTGAGGGTACCAAACTTGTACTTTGATTTTCAGGTCAAGGTCAGGTCATCACAGGTCACGAAAATATTATATCATCCGTCGGTCACGTGACACATGTTTTATGATCCATTTAGGCCAAACATTTCGAATTTGATGTCTTCTGTGTCATTCGAGGTCATTTTGAGTCAAACTTAGCTTAGGTCAGGTCACTTTCAGGTCAAAAAAGGTCAAATTTTGAAGTTAAAATTTTTCAACAAAAAAGGTGTCTATTGGATGCAGTTTGAGCTCAGGAACACGATGGTGCTATTCATATTGGCGTACGATGTCAAATTCGTGCTGAAAAAATTGATTTGAAAAATTAATAATTGTTAATTTTTTGCAATAATGCGTATAACTTGGCCATTTTCTAAGATATTTAGCTAAACCTTGCTAGAGTTAGTCATAATAATGCGTTCCATCACATATATTCCGTTTTTTTCGAAAACTCAAAAAAAGGGAAAAAAATGTAAAAATATAAATTTTAGATTTTATTATAAAAATTTTTCGAAATTTTCACAATTTCGAAAATCCGAGATGGCAGTTTGATAGCGCAGTCTATTCTGAGTCTTCTCATACAAACAAATTGGATCTAGCTTAAAAACTGAGCTCTTGGGAGCGATTGCCGTGGTTCAATGTTTTGCGTCGAAATCGGCCGAACATGACGTCACTCTGACGTCATTTCCGGCCGACCTATGGTAGGTACGAAGTTCAAATTATGACACAAGGTGTCAAATTGATGCAGCCGAAGGTACTGAAAGTTTGGCGTCGATACGTCAAGCGGTTTGGAAGTTATTGCAGAAAAACGGGAGGGGGGCTATAAATAGCCCCCCCCCCCAGTGGGGCGCGGGTTAAGCCGGAGTTGCACCTATCTCATCGTCAGGTTCGGTCAGGTCACTACCCGATTACCTATAAGATCATGTGTAAGGCTCTGCTTGACCCAAAAATATTGATATATTTGGCAGTGCCAATAAATGTTTCTGAGGAAGGCGCAGAAAGCAACAAAGTAGGATGAAGAGTCTCGGGCACGGCCGATTGCCTGGGGCATCGCTCCAGCGAAACGACCGTATTCGTGATTCGTGGAGCGGTGCGGGGCGCCGGGTGGGGCAGAAGCGTAATGTGTCGTATGGTAGAAATGGCCTTTATCGCGGTGTCATGTGTGTGCTATATTATTAAGACGTGCACAAAAAGAAATAGCAATGTGGCAGGCGGACGTTGGGCACTACACGAGAACGATCATCAATAAACTCGTATCTTTTTTGTAAAACTTAAGTAACAGTAGGTATGTCCTCAATGGCGAGGAAACTATCTCTAGGCTTTTACTTTTCATGTTTGCATTTCAACACACAAGCTCTGGGGGCAAAGTTAGTCTGGCGACCTCCTCAACCTAAGTCGATGATCAAATGGATTAGTCCTGAAGGTGTTCAATGCTTAGTTGCACCGGGATGATATAAGTAGATCACGCCGGCATACATTCCTAATCAAATTTCATATATCAAACACATAAATTGTATCATGTTTATGGTGATTCTGTTTTGCAATTTTGACGTAGTCTGACGCGATACATAATCTTACGCAATCATTTGAAATCAACAGCGTCTTTTATGCGCGTTTTTTCACAAGCCCCAAATCTTGTGTAGAAATATATATTTTTTTGTGACTGAACAAGGTGTACGTACATTTGTGATAGATACAATTAGTCGAGGGCTTCAGCTGGTGCGTTACTTATGCGCGCTATTTAGCTCATTCGATGAAATTACTGCTGCAACGACAACTGCACGGCAGCTACGGTCCATGCGAGCCGCCCTGGTGCGACAGCTACTGCCCCGCCCGCTCCACGCAGCCGACTGACCGGCCAAGGTCACTATCCCGTCCGCCGGGAGGGCGGAGCTTAATGGTCACGTGTTTGTGACGTCACACCTACGCACGGATAGCCTCTACTCCACTGACGGATTTACGGAGCCGATTTTAACATTACGAGGCAACGACAAGTACCCTAAAATTTGATATTTTGTTAAGAGACCATATTGGCGAAAATTGGCGCTTGAGCTGAAATGTGCATTGTGAAAATTTGAAGCAAATTGGACAAATAGTAAATAAATTATCGCCGAGAATTAGGGTCTCATGGGGTCTGAAAAGCATAGTAGTACACATGTGTAATGATAAGCGCAATAGCACTCACGCACTGTAAATTTGCAACGTCAACAGTAAAAAGTGCCCCGCGGGGTTAGGTGACTTACACCATTCGCCCCTGTCTTCTGCAGTGTTGAACGATTTCGTATTATAATCAGCCTGTGATTCACGCCTGTCCCGATCGCCTCTGCTGTCCTCAGAACCACACTATCCACCTGAAGGACGTACTGACCTCCGAAACGGTACGACTGGACGTAGAGATCGTCTGCGAGTGCGACTGCGAGCGACCCGAGCTCGTGCAGACCAACAGCCCCAAGTGCAGCGGCGTGGGCGCACTGCAGTGCGGCGTCTGCGACTGCCCCGATGGAAGGTGAGGTGATGGGCAATGCGACGTTCTGTCGGGGGCAGTTCATTCCTGCTGCTCCAACTCGAGCTTCTTGTACTTAAAGTGACCATCCCACCTTAACATTAGTTTTGAGTTGAGATAGCCAAATTGGTGGCCATGTCCTGAAAATACCGGTTTGGGCACTCACAACATTGAAAAATGCTTAAATTCGGAGATATGGAATTTCAAACTTGCAGTTTTCGGATTCTAAGGGGCTAATGCATTAGAATGCCCCCTTAGAATTTGTGACGTCAGCGGAGATCTAACAATTTTTAATTCTTTTACTAAAACGTTTGGTAGCACGCGGTGGTATATGCTGCTTTGCGTGCAACAAATGCCGCACTTTCAAAAAAAAGTCGCTAGGAACAGCGGAGATCCCAAAAAGTAAACAAAAGTAAAAGTCTAATATCTTGAAAACCGGTGAATATTTTTCTATGAAATTTGGTAGATATTCGATTTCGCTCTTTCTGCACCGAGCGACATCACTTTCATGCCAATTCATTAACTTTTTTGAAGGTGGGAGGGTCCCTTTAAAAAATACACTTAACTCTAAATTTCAAACTGCCTACTTGTGTGTTGTCCGTTGCCCAAAAGTCTAAAAAAAAAGTCTCTCAAAACAAGTTGTTGATTGGTTCGTGGCCCTTCAGCTAGGCCGTAAGGTTCGGTTACTGGCTGTGGGTCGCCGCTGACGACCAGTGTGGGGTCTCTCAATACGCCCTGAATGTCTGCGACCCCGCAGAGCCGGCTGGAGCTGCGAGTGCTCTGAGACTCTGGGCGGACAGTCGTGCCTGCCGGACAACTCGACCAGTGGGCCCGAGTGTTCCGGACGCGGCGAGTGCGTCTGCGGCAAGTGCGAGTGCCACGCGGGCAGCACGTTCAACATCACGGGCCAGTTCTGCCAGTGCGACAGCAGACTATGCGACAGGTTGGTATCAGAGGGTCAGTGCCGGAAGACAGATAACTAGTTAGTTCAGGGGCCCGCCTTACTTCGTTTTTATAAATTGCAACAAATAACTGAATCAGCCTCTCAAATTTCAAAGTCAACAGATACTTATGCTCTCGTCTAGCCGAGTTTACGAGAAAAAAAATAACGCGTCCGAATATGGGAGCGTTAAGGTAATGTGATTGCGAAGTCCTATAAACCCGGTCAATCTGATCTTTGACCTCAGGGCTCCGAACGGCCTGATCTGCGGCGGCGAGCAGCACGGTCGATGTGAGTGCAACCAGTGCGTCTGCCGCCCCGGCTGGACGGGAGCCGACTGCTACTGCAGCAACGACACGCGCAACTGCATACCGCCCGGCTCCAGCACCGACCTCGTGTGCAACGGCAAGGGCGACTGCGTGTGCGGCCGCTGTCACTGTGTCAGCACCGACGAGGGCAGGTAACGGGGGACGAGGGCAGGCAACGGGGGATGGGGACAGGCAACGAGAGACGAGGGTGGGTTCTGAACAGCGTATGTTGGTCACATGTTCCAAAGCAGCGCCATCAGCTGCAGTATGCTGCCGTCAGATCGGTCTATCTAGCCCTTCGTATTCAGACCGGACACGGCCAACTGTTGCGTTTCGGATCGTTCTGTAGATCCGTCCACACACAGAAAAATATTAACACCGTTAGCGGTGTAATTGCACAGTACATATCTGAGCACTTGAGGAAAGTTAATTTAGTCCCTTCCCCGCTTAAATTACTCGCGCTTCTAAATGAACACCAGGAAGAAGGTAATAGAACACTGTTAGGAGGGTTGGGTGTTTTGCTACATGTAGTAAAACACCCAACCCTCCTAACAGTGTTCTATTACCTTCTTCCTGGTGTTCATTTAGAAGCGCGAGTAATTTAAGCGGGGAAGGGACTAAATTAACTTTCCTCAAGTGCTCAGATATGTACTGTGCAATTACACCGCTAACGGTGTCAATATTTTTCTGTGTGCAGCGTCCCACTCCCTCACAATCGTATCAGTGTTCTCTCAGCGTCCGGCCCTGTCCTCACCGCTCAGGTACGCCGGCCTGTTCTGCGAGGACTGCCCGACGTGCCGCGGTTTGTGCCGCACCTACCAGCCGTGTGTCGAATGTCGGCTGCGTACCAAGGCCGGTACTGGCCACAACTGCTCCAGCTGCCCCGAGACCGATACGCACGAGATCACCCTGACAGACCGGCTGGGTAAGAGAACCAGGCCGAAGCTGATCTGTAAGGAGTTGGCTGTATGTTTATTTATTTTTATTTATTTATTGAAAAAATATCCCCGGGCATGGGCAACCAATAATGGATGTAGTCACAAACATAAAACTTATACAAATGTTATGCAAACATAGTTAAAAAAAACAAGACAAACTTCTTCTTTTCAAACTTACTGTTTTTTTCTTTTCTCTGTCCTGCCTGTCTGTCTGTCTGTATGTCTGTTTGTCTGTCTGACTCTCTCTCCTCTCTGTTTCTCTCTCTCTCTCTCTCTCTTCTCTCTCTCTCTCTCTCTCTCTCTCTCTCTCTCTCTCTCTCTCTCTCTCTCTCTCTCTCTCTCTCCTCCTATCAGTTACCTCCTTCGTGGACGGTGGTGGATGTAATCTATTTTTCAATCTTTTGAGGAGAATCGTGATTGGACGTTATTGGCCGTCATAAGTGCTTTTAGAAACTTTGGTAATAAAACTACATGATGATATTAGCTTCCATCAAGCCTCTGCCGAGCACAATAACTGAAAATTAACTTTTGCTTGTCCAATACCTGTCTAAGGGCGGGCTGCAGTTCTGTCAACGACTCAATACGTGGTCCGTCGAGCACAGGCAAGACGCTGGATCTGGAACATTTGGCGACACATCCCTCGTTTTGTGCTAGCTATTGCGGATCTCAAACCACTATAACATAATCGCCTCCATATGTCATCCGCTCGTGGTCGTCCATGAGCGCGTGTGTGACGCGCTAGCTCAATCAAAGCCGCCCCATAGTAGCGCTGTGGCACACCGGGCACGTACCCCGTCGAATCCACGCCTGCCCCGTCGAACCCACGCTTGCCCCGTCGTGGATCGATCACCGACGCATCGCCTCAGCTCGACAGCGGGAGCGGCAAAAGCCTCTCGCCGGTTCATGGAAGTGCAATCGTACCGCATTATCCAAGTTGCAAAGTGGCTTCAACTTTTCGCCACTTATCTCTGGCCTGGGCACCATAGGTCAGACGCAGGGCACTAAAGAGATTGGTTACCACACATTGATTTTAAAGCTGCGTTCGCCAGCCTAAGATAGGCATAAGGGCCTGCGGGTAAGTAAATTTTACGCCTCTTTCACCTGCAGAGAGATGCTTAGGCTCACCGACTGAAGGTGACAACGCTATTTGTTTTTTTTTTTGTTTTTTTTTTTAGAAGCGATCGAAGGGGAACGATGGCGAATTTTGAGGGCGAATTCAGTTCAATAAACGGGAACGGGGACTTTATGGCTATTCTACCAGATATGTACTAAATTTGATCAGGTGACGTCATGTTTATCTTCTTTCAGCTTCGCCCGAAGATGGCACCATGTGCCGATTCCAAGATGCGCTGGACGGATGCTTCTACCAGTTCCAATACTACTCGGACGAACGTGGTATCACCGTTATCAACGTTATTAAATCAAAGGTACATACAAACATGATTATTTTTTATGCAACCGCCTTTAGAACAGGCGTTACACTGAAAACAATTTTACCCGAAGCTGGCGAATTAAGCGTTGCTCTGCGGGTGGTATATGTGTATTGTGTATTAACTCGCCATGTCCAGATTCTTGCTAAAGGGTAAGCAGACTTGCCTGCCTTATTACTCGTAAATATGCACCGTACCCACAGTCTGCAGTAAGGTAGCTACTCAGCACCGGATATTGTCCCCGCGGGTGTCGAGTCATTGGCATAGCCCTCACTGAAAGAGTTGGAACTACTCGAGATATCGTAAACGCGTATCCGTGGATGGCGAACCTTTACATAACCTGCCCTGAAGGAGTTGGAACTACTGGCACAACTAGATGGCGTTGTCTCATACAGTTTTGAATTACAGCAATTTTCTAACTTTTTTTTTGCACCAATGATATATTGGCACATTGTTTGGCGGTTTCAAGTGGGGGAGAAAGTACAATTGTTAGGGTGCATCTTTAAAATCTCTGCAATATTCATCACGGGACGATTGGCAACGCCTTTTCTTCCGAAACTACCACGTGAGACCATTTTAATTCTTATATAGGTCACTAAAGCAGTTGCGACACATGTTCTTGATCTCGGGCGGTCTGTACGACTACAGGTGACTGGCTCATGTCGAATATTCCATGGGAATTCGATTTGACCGTTCCCACCGACGTGAAACTTTCTCACCGATGTTTTCTAGGTGTGAGATTGTCATAGTATAGATAATTTCCCTCAAATTTGGTCAAGCGTGGGAGTTTTTTTGGCACCGTGACTTGGTCGGCGAAGGGTAGGCGTGGAGGGTAACCCCTTTTAGTCATACCTGCTCTGAGCGGATATAACCGCTGAGGCAGATACGGCTACACTGCAATGGGACCTTACTGTACTCCTGGGAGGGTGGTTAAAAATGGTTGCGGATAGGGGTACCCGCGAAACACCGGTTTACTCGCCGGCCCTGGGTTAAACTGTTTTCAGTGTAGTCAATAACAGTTGGGTGCGATCTCAATTTCTCAAATGCACCTCATTTATTATTGCAATGACTGTAAGTACGAATTGAAGCTGATATTTTACATGATTTAACAGAGAATAAAATTAGAAACTAGAAAGGGTTTAGCAACAAAACATCATAACCATCCATACTTCCGTAAGATTTTTGCGCTTAGGACGCTCCATAGCCTCTCTAATTCAGCCTGTAATCCGGATGAGTGGCTCGGTGCCTGTGGCTGGTTCGCTCCATGTGTCCAGTGGGCCGTAACTCGGCCAACCCGGTCCACTCCATGTTCTGCCCGTATAACTTTCCGACCCTCCTCCCCAGGAGTGCTACGAGGTGGATGTGCTGGCCATCGTGCTCAGCACGGTCGGATCGGTGGTAACCATCGGCGTCATCACACTGCTGCTGTGGCGGCTCTACACCTACCTGGCCGACCGGCGCGAGTACGCCAAGTTCGAGCTCGAGGTCAAGGCGATGAACGAGGCTGACTCGGGCATGGAAAATGAGCTCTACCGTAACCCGGTCACCAGGTACAGGGTGCCCGAGGGCGTGATGGCCAAACTGGAGGAGGAGGATTGAGGCCGGGCGCGGCCACAGCCACAGATGGTGAACAGGGGCACCAGTGGTGAGGCGAGGAGCGGTGACAGACGGCTTGTGACGACTGGTGTGCCGTGACTGTACTTGGACCCACAGTGTTAGGGACACTCAGTATTTAACAACTGAACAGGGAGATGAAGACCAGAGTGACAACTGGCAGGGATAAAAAGAAACGGAAGTTACTAACGAACTGGAGCTAGAAGAGATAGCTGACTGTGAATGAAAAGATTGGCATGTGTGGCTCAAATGAATGATTATGTAGACCAAAATACATGCAAAGATAATCGACTTGGTCCATCGTGACGGTCATTTTGTAGAAGTTGGGAAACACGGACTTGTGCCTTATCTCTTCATGGATTTGTAAGTGTCTTACCGTGTCCGTCTATTCGTGTGATGCTATGTGGCGTCGAGCTACGACACTTTGTTGTTAAATGCAGTTTGTTTGCTGAACTTTCCATTATGTTGCTGCTTAGGTACATAAACATCTTTGTCGCAATCTCGTCGCTTGCTAACTAGTATAGTTCTTTCTGACAATACAGCGCTGCTTTTACCGTACAAAATATGCGTTTTATTTTGGCAACAGTTAACGTATTTTTAGACTTCCATCGCATGGTATCACTTCACATTGTAGGTACTATTAGCTAGTCAATAGTTCAATAGCTTTATCGAATTTGTCCAGGCTTTCAAGACACGCAATTATACTCGTCAAAGCGCTGGAAGACTGCAGGCCATGTCTGCACTCCGGCTCCGACTACATCATATCCAGGGTTACCGCTGCAAGGGAAATTTCCCTTTTCTATGGAAGTCAGCGAAGATCTAGGGATATATGGATTTCACACGAAATCTAGGGAAATGCCACAAACCCGAAAAATTGTTGTTTTTTCAACAATCGAAATCATTATTGTCATAAATTATTCTTCCGCATGCCATATAAAAAAATATGAGAACATTTTTCACAAAATTAACGTTTGATGCTCTAGTTTTAAAGATATAAAGTGAATTACATATGCATGCATGTAGTTATATATAATTCTTGCTATTATTTCAAAACGAACTGCTGCTTTGTACCATTTCGGGTGCGGCTAATTTTTTACATCAAAGTTTTTGTTTTGGCGTGATTTTTACAATGTCTAGCGCATATCACTTCCTTTCCCGCGTATCGAGTCGCAACACACCACAATTTGCGATATACCACTCAATTATATTATACCACGTACAATAATTTGCGTGTGACCAAAAAGAAACGAGTCTGTGTCCGCTAGGGACACGGTTCAATATCTACACACCGATTACCTATACCATAGTGATGCGGAGCATTTCAGCACCATATGAGCGAAGTTTCAATTTTTCTGGCCCATTGTCCTTCCTTCCACGGTCGTTTCTCTAAACTCCTGCAGTGCCCCGTGTCATGTGCTCTTGCATGTCCTCAATCTCTTCAAAAAGTGATCCCTTGAGGACGCCCTTGGTGTTCGGGGATAGCCAGAAGTCACATAGTGTTCAATCTGGCGAGGACGGGTGATGTTTCACTCTGGGTTCCACTGTGGGCTGCCCTCCGGCTGCTCAAAGACTACCGTGTCACTTCCACACAGCGAGCCTTTTGATCATTGGAGAACACTGGGCACCCCCTTCACGCGAATCCTTCCTCGTGCCCAAATCCACCGTCAGGATGGTACTCACCGACTCTGTTCCCATTCATAGCCCCTCAGCCAGCATCCTTACTGTCCATCTGCGATCGCTGTGCGTCAGGCTCGTGGATGTTTTCTTCATTTCTGGATGTTGTGGGGCGTCATGGCTCCGGGACCCGGGTCATCCTCCACATCATCTCGTTCACTCTCAAACCTTTTGTGCCACTCGAACACTCGTGCAGGAGACATTGCTTCGTCTCCATACACATAATTTGACATCGGAAGTGTTTCTGTAGCAGTTTTCCCCAGTTTCACTGAGAACTTGATGTTTGTCCCGTCTGTTCAGAACCCATATTGTGACATGGGGTATTGCAGGGGTTTAGAGAAACGACCGTGGAAAGAAGGACAATGGGCCAGAAAAATTGAAACTTCGCTCATATGGTGCTGAAATGCTCCGCATCACTATGGTATAGGTAATCGGTGTGTGCTGAACCGTGTCCTCAGCGGACACAGTCTCGTTTCTTTTTGGTCACACCTCGTATGCCAGCAATTTCATTAGAATCTCTTACGTTAACGTCACAGAATGTAGTAAATTGCTGTTTTGGGAAGCAGCGACTATAACACGAATGGTTAGAATGAGGATCAAGTACAGTACGTCAAATTCCATGAAAATAACCGTATCTAGGGAAATGATTTTTAAAATAGGGAAATTTTCGTGAGAATCTGGGGAAACCGGCGAGACGCCAGCGGTAACGCTGATCATATCCCAGTAACACCAGAGATTAGATTCTAAGTGACCCCTTGCGACTTCCATTTCCTGGCTCGTTTTCTATCCTCTACAGAAGCTGCTATTTGTTGCGATTACTGAGGGCATAGGTACAGCATGAAGCAGCGTACAGCACGGGTATACGGATTACGGGCACGCTATAAATTAAATTTGGAACTACGGCCATCTAGCACAAATCGTGTTATTTTTATATAATTTGAAAAATCAAACATTTTCTTTCAAAATGAAACGAGCTATAACTCGAACTATACCATGCTTGTTTTTTGTTGTAGTCACGCTCTTGAGTCTTGGATGGATGAATAGAACATCAACAGGAAGTTCAATAGTTTTTATAACCCATCTTAACAAATGGTTAAAAAACTAAGCAGATGGCCAAAGGCACTAATGTAGCGCCATGATCACCGGGAGCAGTGTTCACAGGTATGTACGTATCAATTACTAAACAGTGCACACTGCACAGCTCTCATCAAACAAGTCTCCAAATACCCAGTGACGATAATTGCATTTATGACTTTCGCAGATATTCATCGAGACACGTTAATCTCAAGAGCAGCCCATGGCATGAGTGGCATTCATACAATGTCATTGAACTTATTCACATTTCATCCACGCATTTATAATGAAGCTTCACTAGTAACACCACTAATTAGATAAACATGGTGCCGTTCATAAAACATACGCATTTTGTATACCATCATCTACAACTAGTCACCCCACTTGTTCACGATTTCTGCCGTGTACAAGCTAAGCCGTTGAATGTTCACTAGGCAAGGTCCCGCGTTTGGGAAGTAGGTACACATATCGCATCAAAATAATCACATAAAAACCGTAAACTGGTAGGCCGTTCCATTGCGGAGGCAAAAACAGTGAACATCATTCTGGGCCATGTGAGCCATTAAATAATTCGAACACAATTCAAGTAAAACGTCTGCATTTTGATGCTGCCATGAGACAAAAAAAACTTGAAAAAGTGACGAACATTATCCTACTAGGTTATTCAATTCTATATTTCACGTCGTGAAGACGACATTCGTTATTGACGCCCATATTGGTCCCGCTTATTCATGATAAACTATTCATAAATTTCCTTATACAGCATACAGTACAAAGAGGTCAATTGGATACCAACTTTTCGGTATACCGATGCATGCCAATCAATCCGATACCAACTTGGTAATTGGTACTTCTGTTTTTAATATTTTGTTGGTAGATATCATGAAGCTTCGCTAACGTATAAGAGGCTATAAATTTTGTAAAAAGTTGGTATTTCCTTGGTATTCCCAAGTTGGTTCGGTTTCGGTATAGGTATTCCCGTGGTTTTGGTTTTAATATTTGGTTTGGTATTGGTATCCTCATTTTTGTAATAGGTCATCACTAACCCGCGCACCGACGGGGGGGGGGCGGATATCCGCCCCCCCTGAGGTTTTTCGCGAATAGCGGGAAAACCGCGGCGCGTAGCGCCGCGAAATTTGGTATGACTATTCCCTTATCAATTTTACACATGGTGTGCAAGTTTGAACCTCCTACCTTTCAAGGTCAGGTCACCAGGTCACTTTGAATGACCCAACCTCAAGTCACTTTTTTGCAACTTTGTCACCGTGCCAGAGCTACAGTAGATGTCGGAGGCCTTTGAAAGTCGCAGGATGTTATTAGGTCGTTAGTAGCTACAATTTGTATATCTCGGAATTTTGATATCGGTGACCTAAGGTCAGGTCAATTTCGCGACCTCCCCATTATAAGTCAATGGGGGAAAAATCAACTCCCTGTTTTTACCACTAAAACGGGTCGGAATGGCCCCATATACCATACATGACTTCATACACGATCAACCTTCACTACCTTGAGGTCTGTTTTGCTGTTGGGCAGCTGTGAGGTCATGTGACGTCATCAAAGGTCACCAAAGGTTTTTGGCCAATAACTCCGTACAGGAACAAGATACAGACGCGTGGATGGTCTCATTGTGTTCAGCTCGTCAAGACGCATCGAATGATATACATGATGACCTCGAGGTCACGTGACCTGAGGTCAACCTTTGACCTTGACCTTTCGAGGTCAACATATATATCATTCGATGCGGATTGACAAGAGGATCACGATGATGCCCTTAGTTTGTTCCTATCTTGACTAATTCGAAAGTTATTCGAGAAAAACTCTCTCCATATTTAGCGCCGCCATTTTGACTTTTTCGACCCCTGTGACGTCATCTTTGACCTGACCTGAAAATGACCTTAGTAAAAATTGTAGATCTTGACCGTGCGTATCCGATGCCGTTTACCGCTTGTCGCTATCTTGCTTCGTTCTCGAGATCTCAGGGGGGGGCGGTCATCCGCCCCCCCCCCCCCGTCGGTACTAAGTTGGCGCAGACCCCCGTCGGTGCGCGGGCTAATACAGTACCTATACAATTCTACATAATGGTCAGCATTTCTATTCGAGACATCTAAGGATAAAACTCAAACATATACATAACACTGCCCAAAACAATAAATTGAACATCTAAATCAACTACCTATTGATAAATAGAGCCCCTTCGGTTAGTAATTCCATTGATATCTTAACATCAACTGAACCATTCTCAGCGCGGTTCATCGCCCCCACACGCAATTCACAGATCCACCCAGATCCACCTAGAGTTTGGTGGATTCGACACGGGCTCCGTCCTCACTTTGAACGATTGTAGTGAGTGTGGCAGTGCTAGTGCCCGTGGGAAGCGTCTCCTCTACCGCTGCTCCTGTCGAAGGAATAATCTCAAATCGGCAGATAAAAAATACACATGTAAGTACAATATACATACGGCTAAATAGTAAACGAATGAGAAATAATCAGACAAGTAAAACAATAATTAAAGTCTTTGTCAGCAATGTCAATGGCATTACACCCCAGGTAAATTACTTCAACACTGTTAGCTCGTCGAAAAGTTGCACTCATTTTGTTGGAATCCTGACTGAATAATACTAAAATGCATATTCAATACCCACTGTGGATTCGGCGCTTTACATGGCTAGTGAAAGCACCCATTAACTGTTCCGATTGGGACTCCCGACTGACCCTCGGCCTTCTCGCGGCGTTTGATGTGTCCGTGCAGGCAGCAGTAGTAGACGACCGCGTAGAGGATGCCGGCAACGCCGCTGGCAACCCCGATGACGCGGTAGGTGAACTCCATGCCGTAGGAAGCCATCAGATAGCCGCCCACGAAGCTGCCCAAACCATGGCCTGCCGCACGGACAGACCACGCATCAATGAGTGATAGATACCTACTCTCTTCGACAAAACCAAGAATATCTCGAAAGCTACGTTGTCAGTATTGAAATCACTTGAAATTACCACTTGAAAATCACAGCACATAGACGGCTTATGACCATATAGGATGTATGTTACGTGGGCCGTAAGGGCCTTGGGGCAGTGTTAGGTTGTTCCGGCGACCGGCGTTCCGCCGTGCCGGACCAGGATGAGACCGGTGACCAGTGTCAGGTCGCGCCAGTTCGAGCCAATGAAATACAGTTGCAAAATGGTGGAGAAATTATGCAAACAGAGCTAGCTCATGGAAGCAACGACGTTGCTAATTCTTTCCGGGAGCGGAAACCTATGTATACATATGGCAACATCGAAGCGCCTCACAGATAGAATACTTTGATGAGAAGTCTCAGTACCAAATACTAAGCCTCCAGCGTACAAGAATGAAGAAACGCCTTCTAGACAATCTTGCATGCCCCGTAGCCGCGCTGAATCTTGTGTTCACACGGAGGGGATTTGAAACATTGGGCAACGCCCAAAGCTTTTTGGACCTGAGTGTTTAAGCCTCCGAAAAACGCTAGAGGTTATAGAGAAACCTTGAGACTACCTTTTCCCATGATCGGCTTAGCATTTTCTCTTATGGAATACGTGTGAGGCTCGTTCGAAAAAATGAATTTCGCATGGGAATCCAATGGGATATAGAGGATTCTTCATGGCTCCGAGTGGAAGATAAGGATATCTTTTCCAAGCGGGTTACTGAAAAACCGAGCGACGAAGGAGCGAGGTTTTTTGTAACACGCGAGGAAAAGATATCCGATCTTCCACGAGTGAGCCATGAGGAATCCTATATCTTTCTATCTTGAGGTTTATTCTTAATTAATTACATAAAATGTATTTAATTGTATTCATCTATGTGAAAATAGATTCAGAGTAGTTTGTTCTTATTTCATAAGTTTCATCCATAAACAACCATTAAAAATGTCGTTTGGTTATTGACCCATCATCACTTGAACTCTTGATTTTTGGCTATGAACCCTCGAGACCTTATCTTTGCATCTCAGAGGGATGCAGAGATAACAAATTCTTATCTTTGCATCTCAGAGGAGTGCGAGATAGAAAGATCCCTGCACTGTAGACGTAGACCCAATGGCAAATAAACATCAACTAGAAAGATATAGAGGATTCTTCATGGCTCCGAGTGGAAGATAAGGATATCTTTTCCAAGCGGGTTACTGAAAAACCGAGCGACGAAGGAGCGAGGTTTTTCTGTTACACGCGAGGAAAAGATATCCGATCTTCCACGAGTGAGCCATGAGGAATCCTATATCTTTCTATGTTGAGGTTTATTCATAATTATTTAAATATCAAATTCAAATGTATTCATCTATGTAAAAATAGATTTAGAGTATTTTGTATTTATTTCATAAGTTTCATACACAAACAACCGTTAAAAATGGCTCGGTTATTGACCCATCATCACTTGAACTCTTGATTTTTAGCTTTGAACCCGCGAGACCTTATCTTCGCATCTCAGAGGGATGCAGAGATAACAAATTCTTATCCTTGCATCTCAGAGGAGTGCGAGATAGAAATATCCCTGCACTGTAGACCCAATGGCAAATAAACATCAACTAGAAAGATAGTATTTTTTAGCACCGATTTGGTCTACTGCTACCAACTTTTACTGGCTACCCCTGGTTAGAACGTTCCATGGCAACTCAAGAACGCTGCCGCTGTTTTTATAGAGTAAGCAGTGCTTTGAACTGCCTATCGCCACCGTCGTTTAGACAAATTACCGTGGCTCACGGCTGAGCTGAAAGGATCCTTTTAACTTTTAAGCATCAGAAAACAGCATTAGCGCCATTTTCGATAGAATGTTACCATTACCGACACTCCTTTACTAGCCATGGCCCTCATATGTGACTCTCACCGGCATTGTAGTGTAGCATCCCCGAGAGTCCGGTCATCGTGGCGAGCAGGCCGGGAGGCGCTAGCTGCGCCGTGTAGGTGGCAGCGCTGTTCCACATCAGGTGCACAGTGACCACCTCCAGCAGCTCGAACGGAAAACACAGCCAGGGCACCCTGTATAAAAAACGACACAACCCGGTAGGGAATCGAATGACGATGGCTACAGGGGCCAAACTGTCTGAACAGGTTGACCGTTAATCGTTACGGTAATCATAAATCACAGGTCACGAATGCATTTGAAGTGACGTCTGTGATTAAACAATGGATTGTTCCTTGAAAGCGGTAAATATGGGCTAACTAATCCAGCATGTTTGGTATAATATAGGTGCACATTTTTACAATGCAGTCAAGGCTATAGAACTTCATGCAGTCTTAAATACGTCTTCGTCCTCACTTGATGAGCGAGTAGCCGACGTAGCGGACCGCGTAGCCGAAGAAGGCCATGATGAGCACGTTGACGTGGCCGATCTTCCTGGTGATGGCGTCAGACCACCAGTTGAACGGCATCGAGGCCAGGCCGGCCACAGTCATCGTCAGGCCTGCGGGCAGGCTGGGGTCTGAACGACGGGCAACGCCACACCGCTTTTGCCACTCGACTGTTAACCCGGCCGGGCCCGGGGGGTAATCCCAACCACCGCAGCCCGGGGGGGGGGGCGTTTTTCGCCCCCCCCCCCTCCTGTCTAACTCCGTAAATAAGGGAGCTACGCAAACAAAAGTGATGCGAACCGAAAGGTCCTTACGAGACGATTCTAAAGCACCCAAAATTTTTGACCTCAGGTCAGAGGTCAAGGTCAAAGGCAAAAACCGGCAAATGTGTAGTGATCTCAAAATAAGCGTTCTAGAGGACGGCAGGATGCGTAGAACCGGCAAAATTGGGTGTCAAACGAAAGAAAAGAACCTGAGGATTCCAAAAATGTGCTCAATATTAAAGGTCAAGGTCAAGGTCATGCTCAAAATTGACCTCAAACTTTGCACTTTTTCGTACATCTTGCGTGCTAACTTCTAAGATGTTTTGAAATGTTTTGAGGCTTATCAGGTCCCTATTTGTGGTTTTATCTTACAATACAAGGCTGCTCTAAGGTCAAGGTCACAGAAGAGTGTCCTTGCTAGAGGCTATTTCACTGATTTAAGTTAGTAATAATAAATAAAACAATTTTGCCATCCGGCGGCTCTAAATGAAGGCTTAGAGGAAATTAGATTCCAGATTCGTGATCAGCGGGTACGAATCCTTTACAAACGACCTTTCATGTGTCAAGGTCAACCAAAGGTCATTCGAGGTCACATGAGGTCAACATAAAACTTGACCTTTTCCTAGCCAAATATATATCATTCGACGTGGCTTGACAAGGCGAATGCGATGGTAGGGGAGAGTGGGGTAATTTGGCCGGTGGTGTAAATTGGCCGCCCCCACCTGTACGATGTCTAATAAAAGTGAGTGAAATAACTCTAGTCTGTATTCATTTGTCATGGGTAGAAATAACTGGAGGACAAATGTCAAAACTTTGCCCCTCGTAGTTTTATTCAAAATTAATAAAACGTTAATTTCATTAGAAAATGGTAACTTTTACTTCTGTTTACAAAGTTGTATAACATGTAGCATTTGGGCTAAAAACGAATTCAGACCTTATAGCACCATTCTTGGGGGTGTTCAGCGGTTCCAAGAGCAATTTTATCTAATTCCATAAAGCCGTGATGACTTTATCGACAAAAATTTTCAGAATGGCAATATGGGGTAATTTGGCCGGGACTAGCGGGGCAACTTGGCCGGTGCGCTCATGGTCACTATGCTGGAGCGCCGAGTTTTCATGGTCAATTGTACCATAATTGACATGATTCATGACCAACTTTGACTACTTTGATGCCTTACATCCGATTGGCCAACTGTAAGAGCATGTGACGTCATCAAAGGTTACCAAACGTTTTTTTGCTAATAAATCCTTACATAAAAATGGTACAGCCGCACAAATGGTCTCATTCTGTTCAGCTCGCCATGGCGCATCGAATGATATGCATGATGACCTTGAAATCACGTGACCTTGAGGTCAAGCGACCTGATGCAACGTGACCTGAGGTCAACCTTTGACCTTGACTTCTCAAGGTCAACACATATATCTTTCGATGCGGACTGACGAGAGAATTACGATGGTACTCGAAGTTTTGGCCTAGCTTGATTACTTCAAAAGTTATTCGTAAAAAAACTGTGATCGCATCTAGAGCCGCTAATTTGGCTATTTTGACCCCTGTGACCCCTGAGCCAACCTCCAAAATGCGGCAACGATAGGCGTTATCACAAGTGTATTCGCGGCCATTGGGGCGAAGTAAGAAAAGAAGAAAACAACTGGTCCCAAGAACTTTAAATTATCAGTTAGCATGCACCTTTTCCTTGATATGTAGAGAATTTACCATTAATTGTTAGAGAAAATTGCATTTAAAATCTTCCATTTATGCTTTTTTCATCGTTTGCACAGTATGTTCTTTAATTAACTAAGCTAGAAACACTAATTAGAAATAGTTCCCGCATCATCAAGAACAATAGGGAATGCTTAAAGTGAATACAATAATCTAAACGGTTTTGTAATCCATGTGAAGACACTTCTAAAATTGCCTGTAGAAATATTAAAGGCAAAAGTTCAACTTTTTCACAAGACGGATGGCTATAAACCTATTCAACGTGTGACAACTCAGCCGGTATTTCGTCGCCTACAGCCCAGCTTTCCCTAGTGACCGATAGAGGCGCTGCTATCGATGTCCGCCCGTGCCGCCTAACGAATGCGTCATAGGACACACATCATTGCTGAATCTGAAGCTGACTCGCAATATAAAAGAAAATCCCGACCGCAAACTAACACCGGCCAAATTGCCCCACACCCCCGGCCAAATAACCCTGCTAGTGGGGCAATTTGGCCGCCTTGCAGACCTTTGTAATACGTCACAATTTCAATGTAAGTAATTACTCTGTCATTTCAAGTTCACTGTCCAGTAAAGTAAAATGAATGGGACACCTGCCAGCGTTGAGAAAATGCAGAAATGTGTCGTCAATTTTAAGTTATATCGTTTTCTAAAAAAAGCGGCCAAATTACCCCACTCTCCCCTACCACTGCCGTAGCTCTAGGATCATTTTTGTCGAAGTTATTTGCGAAAAACTAAAACCACAGCTTGGGGTCGTTGATCTGACCTCTGACCTCAGGACACCAAAACTATTTTTCCATTTTTCTCTAGGTCAAACGCTACACAACTGTGCTCGTAATTTGTCTTTATCTCTGAAACTATTTTTAGCAGCTATTTGAAGTTCGCGTCTGCGACGCCGAAGTTTGCCGTGCAGGGGTCTAGAAAAATCAACCGTGTGACGTCATCAATGGGGCTAGGTCCAAATTTTTTGCTTCAGAAGATGTCAAATTGATGGGAAAAAAAGGTATTGAAAGTTTCGCTTTCCTATCCCTAAGCGTTCGAGAGCTATCGCAAATATTCGCCGGGGGGGGGGGGCGAAAAACGCCCCCCCCCCGGGCCCGCCAGGGTTAACTGGTGAGGTGAACAGCTAATCGCACCGACTGTCCCTCGAGGGGAACAACAGTTCAGGCATATGTTTTGACTCATATAATCATACAGGAATATATCTCATATCCTTACAGAAATATAATTTATGTTCGTATAAAAAAATTAAGATGTTTGTTGTCTGGTGATAAAATAAAATAAATCGTGCTTGTGTTAAAAAAAATATATCATAAATTCTAGCATGAACGGACAAAAATATCACTGAAAATAGCTTACCAAGCATATAGGTTGGTGCGTTGAGCTCTTTGAGGAAGATGAAAAGAAAACTTTCCAAAAATCCCCACATGACGCCCAGAAATAAGACGACAAACAGAAAAACCACCGTTTCAGGGCGTTTGAAAATCTGAAAACAGAAAAAAAAAACGCTGAAATTGAAACTAAAACTTCATCACAATTTACAGGCCGAGTTTTTAAACATACATTCAGTCACGCGAGCACATTACTTTTATTAATTGCTTGCTATCGATCAGACTAGAAGGTACTTGCCATCGGATCTGTCGTATTTTTATCGAGAAAAATGAAAATGACCCGGAACACTAACCGATTTATCATTTACTGTGGTTGAAATAGGAAAAAGTCGTGTCTCGACAGGCCGACTGCTACCATCCTCCGGATGAGACTTACAAGGGAGCTATAATTCTCACCCTTACAGGCACACTAATATGTGCACTCTGTCGAAGAGAAGAAATACCCCGACCTGTGCCCCCTGAATCTCTGGCCTCTCCCACCTCAGACTCTGACCTTTGCCCCCTGAATGACCTGTCCCATTTCGGACTCTGACCTGCGCCAGATGTTGGAAATGCGGTTTCTCCGGCAGTGCGACGCGTAACCGGGAGGCGAACACAGTGATCAGAGCAATCAATCCGCACACGTCCGTCACAAAGAAGGCTGGGCTATAATTGGTCGGACCTGAAATATAAGGAGGATACACAGGAGGACAAGGTAAGACACATTTTAATTCAACGGTACTGTTATCTAAACTAAAAATGTCGCCTTAGGTGGTAACTTAGCAAGCGTCAACCCTAAGAAAGTGTCACGTTTTCTGCAAGTATAGTCGTGCAGCTATTCTCTAGGGTGACAAATGATAGAGCATCCTCGTATAAACACGGATGCGACGCATGTTCTCAGCACGAGTCAGGACATCGTCTCTCACCGTCACCACTGAAGACGTCGATGAGCAGTCCGGCCAGCGGCGGCATGATGACGGTGGCCAGGATGGCGGTGACCCGCTGCCGGCCAAAGTTCTGGCCCGGCTCCTTGTGCCTCTTGACCAGCGCCAGGTTGGTGGCGTCCAGCAGCGTGAACGTCGGCTTCAGGAAGAACGTGGCCGCCAGTCGCAGCCAGAAGTAGATCCAGAACGTGGTCCGGTTCGAGACTGGCAGCCCGCTGGCCGGCGCGCAGTCCAGCCAGCAGCTCGACGGGCAGCTGAACTCGCCGTGGTGCAGCTGCAGCTGCACGTCGCCGTCGACCAGCGACGCCGGCAGCTGGCAGCCGTCCGAGCCCAGCGGCAGCTGCAGCACGGCCGTGGGCGTGGCCTCGCGGCACGGCCCGTCGGCCGGGCAGAGCAGCAGGCCGGCGCCGCCCGTCGTGTCGGCTGCGTCGCACACCAGGGTGCAGTGCAGCGTGCGCGTCAGGTTGCCGCAGGGCGGCGGCGGCCAGTCGGCACACTCCAGCCGGCTGCCGTTGCTCGAGGCGGCCAGCGCCTCCGGCGTGGTGTGAGGGCTGGCCGGGATGTAGAAGAGCATGTGGTGCAGCAGGCAGTGCACCACCAGACAGCCGATGTACAGCTCGCGGATCCTACCGGTGCGGTCTGCCAGCAGGCCTGCCGCCGACCACCGACCGGGGCGGACCGTCAGCCGACTCGATAGAATTGAATTCAATGTTCATGCGGTTGGGGCAACTATTGATGAAAAGATTTATTAGGCAGGTGGAATAGCCGTATGCATGAGAAAGGCCCATGGCTCCACGGAGTTTAAAACCTGACTAAATAAATTGGTATACCGCATCCGTCGTAATTTAACTATGGATGTTTTATTGACTTATCAACAGGGACAACGTACATACAAAGCAGCTTCCAGGTGCATGGCAATTGGCATTGTTGCCCTACTTAAACAAACCAGTATGCATAATGCATAGTACAAACTACAAAGTACATACCCAGCTCGATGGTATGTCATATATCATGTATCATGCACCCATTGCAAACAGGTTTGTTCACAATCTTACCTATGACGATGGGTGCCACCAGAGAGGCTATGGGCATGAAGAGGTAGACCTGAGCGACATCAGCCAACGTCAGGCCAAGTGAGGTCATCTGCAGGGTCAGCAGCGGCAGGATCGTGTATGAGGCTGTCGACAACCGCAATCAAAAGTGACAGTCAGCATAGCAGCGGTAAGATCGTGTTGGTAAATACAAGGCTGGTACAATCGTAGCGTCAATAGTGACCGCGCGGCAGCGGCCGCATCCTGTATATTCGACTACAGAATGATGTTCCACTTTTCACAGGCAAGTATTTGCCTGGAGTGGTAGGCTGTGCCGCATCACACGGGCTGAGTTCACAAATTATAACTTTGTCCCAATGCTCACGATCCACACGCTTAATTGCGTGATAAACGGCACAACTTAGCGCTCCGGTCAACTGATAGCTTCTGAGGAGTGGAACATCATTCTGTAGTCGACTATACGTGGCTGCCGGGCATTGCAGTGTCGCACCCAGTAGTGACCGTCGACTATCAAGTGCAACAGTCAGCTTAACATCAGTAGCATCAGTATCACAGCCGGAGTCAGTGCAACGGTAGCAGCTTATAACACAAAAACGAGAATATATACCAAACAGTTTCCGGAAAAGCGCTTGATAAGTTTTTGACTTTTCGTACACGCCAGTAGGTATTTAACGACTCGGGGGCGCTCAATGCCGAAGAAGAGTTGCAGTGTCGAATAAGGCGCGGACAGCATCTACGGCATTTTCTTGAACATTTCCCAATTGAGACCATGTATGAAACAAGGAAACTTTGCAGACTCACCGCAGAAATTCCAAAAGTACACCAGCTTGATAGGTAGAAAGTTTCGGTTGATGTGGTACCATCGCCTGTCGCCGATTTCCTCTATCGTCGCCTCTTCCATCTTCTTTTTGCTGGCGTCCTCGTTCATGTTTGAAAGTATTGACAGCTGGAATTGATTGAATAAATCAGGTTTCTGCATAGCAAAAGGCGTAATAGCAGATAAGAGTTGCGTGAATGAGTTGTGCAATTTCTACATTGACACTATATACCTACGGTCAGCGGTCTTAAATGTTGCCTTTGCCGATCGTTTTGGTGTAGCTGGGCTCAGGTAAAATGAGATTGACAATGGACGGTCCGTACTTAATATCTAAATTTAAACGTTTTAAAGTAGGTTCCTTTTCATCCTTAAACTTGTTGATAGGTTGCATTCCTATTTCGGTGCAATCATATTAACCCGCGCCCCATAGGGAGGTGGGGGGGGGGGGGCGAAACGGCGACCCTCTCCTTTCCGTCGATATCTCCCAAAGTATTGCAGATATCGTCCATAAACATTCAGGACCCCTCTAAGTATCAAGTTTACACTTTGTAGTAAAATGTTCATAAACACGGAATAGACTAGCCACAAATGACGGTATATTCTGGATTTTTGATATTTAAAATGTTTACAAAAAAAAACATTCGTTTCTACAGTTTTGAAGATACAGAAAATTTATCAAGCCAAAAAGGTGTAGAATTAACAGGACCGCAAAAAAATGTCATCTCGGATTTTCAAAGAATTTGTAAATTGATCCACAAAAGCAAAATATGTTTTGGATATAATACTCTAAAATACCAAGTTTTTTCATAACATTAAATACGGAGCATAAATTATATAACCTTAACCCGCGTCCCGTAGGGCTATCGGCGGACCCTACCACCCGTAGGGGGGGGGGGCGTTTCGGCCCCCCCCCCCCCTAAGATCTCGGAAATTTACCGGCCGATTTTCAAAATTCAAACGGCGTTCGATAGCCCCACCAGGGAACTACCTTGTGACCAAATTTCATTGACCTAGGTCAAACCGATGACGTCACAGGTCAGGTCAAAGGTCGGATTTTCACCGTTCACAGGCATTTCAAGAAATGTGTTGTGAAATCGAGTAAATTGGTAAGTTATTGAAAACCATCGATGGTACATTGTTCGTCAAACACATACTTCGCTATCTGAGGTCACTGATACCAGGTCAGGTCACAGAGGTCAGGTCACTGAGGGTCACCTGGGGGTCACAATATGAAAGTGTCGTGTGATACACGACACTTTCACTTTATGGTCCATTTCACATGACAAATGCGATTATGTGGGTCAGGCAGCCTTTGGGGCCAGCTTAGGTCACGTTTTGGTGAAGGTCAGTACAAAGTAAGGTCAAATTAGGTCAAATTTCAAAGTTGATATTTTTGCATAAAATGGGTATCGATTCGATGCAGCTCGTCACGGGGAGTCTAATGGTGGTCTTTTTTTGCTCTACGTGCTCTAGAATTGCCAAAAATGGAGTTTGAAAATTTGACGTCATCATTTTTGAACAGTTTTTTCGCTATAACTTGGTCAAAAAACAAGATACCTATTGATCTGAAATTTGGTATGTAGATAGAAGACGGTAGGTACTAACTCATATATTCCGGTTTTTTCGAAACTCAAAAACTTTTTGGATTTTTTGGCAAATATATCCAAAAAAATTGCTTTTTTTATTTTTGGGGGTCAAAACTCAAACATTTCAAAAATCCGAGATAACCATTTTGTAGCCCTGTTAATTTTACACCTTTTATGTCTTGATCATTTTTCTGTATCTTCAAAGCTGTAGGCCTGACAGCTCTTCTCACGAAGGTCTTTTTTTGGTCGAAAATGGCAGAACATGACGGCACTCTGACGTCATTTGTGGCCAACCTATCATAGCCTCTGGAAATCGTTTTGGTCACAATGTGTAAAATTGATGCCCGGAGGAGTCCTGAAAGTTTGGTGGCGATATTTTTAGCCGTTTAGGAGATCGACGGAAAAGGACAGGGGGGCCGTTTCGCCCCCCCCCCCCCTACGGGACGCGGGGTCAACCATCGACATACCATCTTTCAGATCCATATCATATTTCTCTATTTTTTTTCATCAAACTTATGGGGGAAAAGCTATTCAAAATTGATTGCGTCACATCTTTTAGCTCGATTAATAGCTGTTCGAGACTAGGTAGCGCAAAATTAAGACCACCATTGGATTCCCCGTGACAATCTGTATCGAATCGATACCTTTGTATGAAAAATATCAATTTGTAACTTGACCTTCTTTTGAACTAACCTTGACCTCACCTTCACCAGACCGTAACCTACACTGGCCCGATTGGTCACCTTAACCAAATAATTTGATTTGAAATGAAAAGATGGCCATTAAACACGCATCACACAGCCCCAATATAGTTGGAATCATGCTGTGACCCTTAGTGACCTGACCGCTGTGACTTGACCTGGTATCTAAGTACCTACCACATTTGTAAAATATGTACTAGCCAAACATTACTCTGTCAAAGATTTTCGATTGCAATGCCTTTTACTCGATGTTATAACATATTTCTTAGAGGGCCTGTAAACGGTCTGAAATGCGGCCTTTGAGCTGACCTATAACGTCATCGGTTACGCCTCGGTCAATGAAATTTGGTCATAGCGTAATTCCCTGGTGGGGCTATTGAACGCCGTTTGAGTTTTAAAATTTGTTGGAAACTTCCCGAGATCTCAGGAGGGGAGAAACGCCCCCCCCCCCGCCCCCTTCAGATGGCAGGATCCGGCAATAGCCCTACGGAGCGCAGGTTAAAACACGATGTTCCCAAATAGCAATAACCCGCTTCCAACAACTTTTTGCAACCTTTTTCAGTCCTTGTTGCACATGAATTCGAACCTCGTGCTGAAAGAAAATGTGCATCACTATCCTCTAATTCAATGGCACCATACTATGCCTGCATTACCAGATGTGGAATGGATTCGGAATACACGAATCACACAGGTGGACTTATACGGTTCCAAAAAAGGAAGCTGTTTACTGTTTACGCACATTGTTTTAACTGTATGTTCTATATATGATTGTTAATGATCAGTCAGAATTTTATCCGCGGCTCGTCAGCAATTAATTATCATCAGTGATGAGGGAAAATAGCAGGGTGAAACTCGCCCGCAACGTGAGTGCCTAAAAATCGCATTCTTGCATCCAAATCAGCTTACATCTCTGAAAACAATGTTTTTTTCAGTACGCAGCAACGTATATAGGAAAGAGAAATCCATGAGAAGACAGTGGGGCTACTTTTTTTAGGTTGAGGTAGCCTAGTATACGAGTATACTCGTAGTATACTCGTAAATATAGTATAGTATACTCGTAAATACCTATAATATATTACTACAAAGCCATCCAAAAATGAACTGTCCCTAGCTTATGCTACCTATTGAAAAAAAAATGATTCTATTAATTGATATCAGTGTGCTCGCCCATTGCCCAGTGAGTGGTTAGAACCCACAAAAGTGCATACGCCGTAAACACGGCAATGTAAGGCTTCCGAAGCTGTTAACCATACGCATCAAGAGCTAGTCGGGCATGCCTCCCGTGAAGCACGGGCCGGGTGATCATTGCTGAAGGGCATGACGTAGGCCATGTTCACCACGGCGCATCAGCGTAACTCTTCAAAGCGATGAATTGTAGACACTAGACGGTGGCTTAGCCTTTTATGAAAAAAAAAAACAAACAGATTAGGCTTATACGTTTATAATCCATTGCAAAGCTGCCTCTCGGGGACCAGGTGAATTCCAGATCATGTCAGAAGACTCGCAGATGCTGTCATCTCAGGTGACAGCCTCGAGACCGCTGCTCATGCTGCCCGCAGCACCGTCACGGAAGATCCGAAAGAGCGAAGTTTCAGCATTCAGCAGCGGCTGAACTCGTTGCTAATGTCAATGGTCAATCATAGGTCAGACAGACAAGTATTATCGCTGCATGGCGCTGGCAAGTGCCTGTGCGTTGTAACATCAAGGCCTCCAGCACCATTGAAGATCTTCATCGCTGGATAGGAGACGAACCGTAGCATCCGTCTCGTAGGAGCTCGCCGCAGGCAGCTGTTCTACAGGTGATCTGGCATGAGAGCACTGGGCAGTTCCCAGAACTCCCGAACTACGAGTATAGCAGATGCCGTTCATCAGCCAGAAACCCCA